CCCGGAACTGCTTCTGTGTACAACTGTTGGCTCAAGCTAGATTAAAGTGATTATTACGTTTTGAATATGGATATTTTTCTTACAAAAACTCATCGATTCACTACAAGAGGCCTTTGTTCACCCCCCGGAGCCATGTGAGACACTTTTTTTTATGGATGGGCGATTTTTATTTAAGTTCTTTTGGACTGAAGCAATGCAACACCCGCTGAGTGGCATTAAACAGCTTGAAAGATCAAAGACAATTTTTAATATAACTCCGACTGGATTCGTCTGAAAGAAGAAAGTCATATACACCTAGGATGCCTCGGGGGTGAGTAAAACACAGCCTAATTTTCATTTTTGGGTGAACTAACCCTTTAAGAACTTGCTTCAGCAAAGCAATCTGTCAGCCTCTCAACATTGACAAAAGAGCATACTAGCCAATGGTAAATTCCATTTATTTTAAAATTCTACAGTGATTAAAGGGATTAAACATTCTGTCATTATTTACTCTCTTTCATGTTGTTCCTCCAACTTTTTATTTTTTCAGTAGAACATAAAGAAGATATTTATTTTTTCCATACAATAAATATCAAGAGGGTACAACACAACACTAGACCTCACTGACCTTAAGAAAAAAAACAAAAAAAACCTTGAGATGCAACACATCTTTTTTGTTTAATGGAAGAAAGAGAGTCGTACAGACACAGGTTTGGAACAACATGAGGGGGAGTAATGACAGAATGATAATGTGAACTATCCCTTTAATGAAGACCTTGTATGAAATAAGAAAGAAAAATAGTGGCATTACCTGTCCCCAGACCAGCTCTCCCATCCCCAGAAACACACACCACATCCACTTCTCCAGGTCCAGAGGAGAACAACTGAACGGTTTCCCTCCAAACTGAACAATCACGATCTGAAATCAAATGTCAAAATGGAAACATAAGGAGTGCTGCGCTATAGATACACTTATTTAAAACCTTTTAATGAAGACTGAATTATTACTGGGTCAAAGAACCAAAAATAAATGAATAAATACAGGTGTGAACAAACTTGAAACTAAACTTAGTGAGAGGTATATACCACTGATTGACATTTTGTCTCCTGTTAGTTGTGCAACATTTACATCTTATAAACCAGTTTTGCTCACACCATGACACAATATATATATATATATATATATATATATTCAGTGATGTAATGTAATGTGATGTGATGTAATATTACTCTACTGTAGTGGATCAGCAGCAAATTCAATCAGAGAGTTGCATTTATATAATTATATATGGAATGACCAAAACAGATCGTTCTACATGCTGGCTTGTTATTTTACCCAAGAGCATGGTCTACTCAAGTCCACATGTCATATTAACTAGAAACTGTGCTTCTGAGCACAGGTCCTGAGCTGTAACTCCAAAACACACTGCTAGGAATCATACCCCTGTTCAACATTTGATTTTTTGCTACCTGAATGGCGAAAGTGCCCAGAACAATGGAGCAGAAGATGGGGTTTCTGAAAATGCCGTCAAACACGTTCCTCTCTCCATGGATCTTGCGTGCGTTGATCTCGTTGAAGAGCTGCATCATGACGAAGGTGTTGAAGATGATGGTGTAGTGCTCAGATGGAGGAGAATGCAGCGGCGCGTTTCTGCCACTGTCGATGTCAAAGATCTGCTCGCCTGGATCACAAACACAGCGTAAGACAGGACTGAAGATCCCACATGGACTAGATGTTTCGGTAACACTTTACTGAAAGCCTTTACAGTATAATGCATTATAAAAGGGTTATTAAATGGTATAATGCATTATAATGTGCGTTGTAATACATTGCATCTTTTCGTAAATAATTATAACCGAATTTAAAATGCATAGTGTAACAATGAATTGATAAGTGTTATAATGTATTAACTGTGGTTACAGTTATTCATAAGATTGTACAATGCATTACAAGGTGCATTACAAGCCATAATTAATGAATAAAAACTACTTTTATAGTGCATTACACATAAAGGCTTTAAGACTTAAAGTAGTTTTTAAGTAAGTAAAGTGTTACCGATGTTTCTTCAACTATTTGTGTAAAACCATTTGAAAAAATCGATTTAATAGGCATTTTCAAGGCATAAAAGCATAAGCATATTTGCTTTGCATGCGTCACAGATCCACAGTTTAATGTAACGCACCCGCAAACAGCAGTGTGAAGATGATGATGAGCTGGTACACGCCATGGCCCAGGATGTTCTTGGTCATGGTGCTGGAGATCAGGGGTTTGTTTCGGCCGTAGGGTTTCCTCATCAACAGAGCCTCGTTGGGCGGTTCAGTGGCCAGAGCCAGAGATGCAAACGTGTCCATGATCAGGTTCACCCACAACATCTGCACTGCTTTCAGAGGAGAATCCTGGAAGAACATACAGTCTGGTTAAACTGGACTTCCTCATCACAACTCGTGAGACCAACAAAACATAATGAACTGAGCTAGAAGTTATACAAGCATTCAGTGTTGGGGAAAGTTACTTTTAAAAGTAATGCATTACAATATTGCGTTACTCCATAAAAAAGTAACTAATTGCATTACTTAGTTAATTTTTATGGAAAGTAATGCGTTACGTTACTTTTGCGATACTTTTTAATCCCTCTTGCCTTGCCATCAATATACCTGTTTGCAATTGTCTGACCTATGCCTGTTTTGACCACGTCTCTGTTAATAAAGCCTTGCAGATGGATCCGCACGCTTCCTGTGTTCCCTCCGTAACAAATAGAATGGAATTAAATACATAAAGGATATTTGTGTTGTTTAACATTTAATTATTGCAGGTTTGCGTCATATTCTGAGTTGCATTATTTTTATTCATTTTGAGGAATACTGAATCTGTTTTGTTTTTTTTGTGAGTGAGATGAAATAATGCATATTCATATTTATTTTAGAACTAGAGTAACATCTGATTTCTCTCAACATGGGGACAGGAGAGCTGTCAATCAATAAATTGGAAAAAAAATAGTTACTTTGAAAAAGTAACTCAGATATTTCCTTCTAAATTAAAAAGTAATGTTTTACTTTACTAGTTACTTGAAAAAAGTAATCCGATTACGTAACTCGCGTTACTTGTAGTGCGTTACCCCCAACACTGCTAGCATCATCCTCGTGTATCAAAATATTAGTAAGAAGACCCTGAAAGTCGTTAACCCAGTGTACGATTGAGTGCCCTCGTTCATCTAAAGCTCTCTGGATGTTCATAACTTCACCCAGTCTAGCCTCTTTCTCTCAGAAGTGCTGCATCATTTATTAGGTCAGAGATCCTCTAGGAAATTAAACAATGCTATTTTAGATCACAGGGATGAAGTCTTTGGCCTTGGCCTAGTAATCTAATATAGATTCTTTGCCATTGCCACATGTCTCTGCGTAGTCTAATTTGAGATTTCATAGTAGGTCGGATCTATCATGTCATAAAAGACATCTACACTTACATTTAGTCATTAAGCAGATTATTTTATCCAAAGTGACTTAAAATGAGGACAACGGAAGCAATCAAATCCAACAAAAGAACAATAATATGTACTGTGACAAGTCTAGGTTAGCCTAACACAATATGCAAGGGTATATATATATAAATAAAAAGAAAACAAGTAGTTAGAATAGAAAAAGAATAGGAAATGGTAGTGTTAGAGGGTCTTTTTTTAATAAAAAATAAGTCGAATAAAACAAATGATTTGAAAAAGAATAGAGAATGCTAGTGTTAGATGGTCATTTTTTATAATTAAAAAAAGTAGAATAGAAATTGAATAGAGAGTGCAAGTGTTAGAGGGTCGTGTTTTATATATAAATACTGTATACATACATATAAACACACACACACACACATATATATACACGAGACATCTCGTTTATGGTAGCAGTGGTTTTAAATTAGTAAGTAGTTTTGTGTATTTCATGAAGACTGTGAGTAGCCTGTACAAAACTCTCTGCTACAATGCTAGTGTGTTGGATGGTTGCCAGGGAGTAAGTTTGAGGTTGCTAAGGTGCTCTGATCCCACCCTCAAGTCTCTGTGATCTTCTGGTCTCTAGACATGGCTCAGGTCCCTCCTTTTAATGTAAATCTATGGAATTTTTCACCTGTTTTATCAACTGTCAGGTAAAAAAGTGAGATGCTTTGATAGATTAGATAGATAGGTGCACATTTTACCGACCCCAAATGTTTGAACGTTAACACATGCTGAAGTTTATTACTCAAGTTTAGAGGCTTGCTCAAATCACTCGTGCCAGGTTTGAGCAATGATAATACTGACGCTTGCTTTAGCAAACAGCACTACACACTCAGCAATACAGTGAAAGCTCATTTAGAGGCTCACTGTGAGCACAGAGGCACAAACCTGGGTTATACAGGCTCCGGTAAAGGCAACGATCACAGCCACCACGTTAACGGTCAGCTGGAACTGGAGGAACTTCGAAATGCTGTCGTAGACGTTGCGTCCCCACATCACGGCCTTCACTATGCTGGAGAAGTTATCATCCGTCAGGATGATGTCAGACGCCTCTTTGGCCACATCTGTCCCTGCGATTCCCTGTTAAGACATTTCACATCAATCCTTTGCTTCAAATTGCATCAAGTGCCAAAAACGTCCATAAAATCAAAATAATTTATTCATTCATTAAAATCACCGTGATCGGCATAGACAGAACCTTTAAAAAACAAAAAGGTTCTATCTACACAGTCGAATGGAATGCAAAAACTTTGAAGCTCAATATCTCAAAACTACTCGGAATGCAGATAGAAGCTTATAATTCCAAGGGGACGATATAAGCACATTCACTTTCCGTTTGAATTAAACCAGACTGAAGTGGGATCACACCCTCATGTGGACAGTGAGTGATCATAAATGGTAAAATCTTGTTGGTGTCTGAGTAAAGAGTTTGTTTCTGCTCACACTGTGTTTGTGTTTTTTAAAGACTAGCCTGAGGGACTGTTCTCCCTTAAGACAGGCCTGACAGTAAAATCATGGTAAATACCACAGAGAGGAAGCCTCCCGCAGGCAGCTCGTGTCAGCAGGAACACAAGAATATGCTCTCCTCTGACACGGCTGAACGTATGGAAATAGAAATGGCGGGGCGGTGCTGACTCAAGCTGTTTTTCTACCTCATGCGAGTCAACTGACAGACGTCAAAAACCAGGACTAAAGAGTCACCGGCTCACACTAGGGGGCGCTCTGGGCCTGCGTTTGAGCGTGATTGTGCGAGCTGCTGAAATGAGGACAGCCTGTGTTTGAGCATCTCAAAGACTGGAATTAGGATGCGGTTCGATCGGTTCTCACCATGGCAAAGCCGACATCTGCCTTCTTGAGGGCCGGTCCGTCGTTGGTTCCATCCCCAGTTACAGCAACCACCTGCCGCTGGTCCACCAGAGTGCTGTCAATAATACCTGAGAGACAAGAGATCACACATCACTGAGTCATTCTGTGAACGCTGCCTTTGTTCTTTATTAGAAGAACACTTCTGCAAGATCTGAGACATTTTATCAGACCACAAACTGCTTAACTGTCTTTCTCAAATTGCATTGTGCAATATGAAGAGTTATATACCATTTAATTCCAATTGGTAATACTTAAAGGGGTCATATGATGCTGCTAAAAAGAACATTATTTGGTGTATTTGGTGTAATGAAATGTGTTTATGCGGTATATATATATATATACATACACACACACACACACACACACACACACACACACATACACACATATATATATATGTATGTATGTATACAAAATGTAATCAGATTCCAAGAAAATTGCATTTCAAAATGCTTGTAATCAGACTACAGTTACTTGTTTTATTGATTACTTGATTACATATATTCACACAGTAGCGAGAAATGATTCATAATTTACTGATTCTCCCTAATTATTTTTCAGCTTTTGCATTTTCCTTTCTAAAATGCCTACATGATACGCAGGTATAAAAAAAAAAAAGTAATTTTTAGTAAGTTTCTTTCTTTTTTTATTTTATTTATGATTGATGTTATTTAAAAATTATTTATTTTAATATTTTTTTTTTTGTTTGTTTTTTTTGTGTTGTTTTTGCGTTTTAATATTAGTATGGTACAGTATTATCCTATTTAAAACAATGTGATATACAAGTTGAGCCTGGAATACACTACACGATTTCTGCCTCATTTTTCCGCTGATTTACAGTCTGGAGAAGTCAAAGCCAGTCTGCAGATTAGAGTTGACTGATTCCATAGAAAATCACCTATGATGGTCACAGACTCAAATTTTTAAAGCTTCAGACTCTAAATCCATCCAGTCAGAGGAGATCAAACATGTTTGTCTGATGAATTTAAAGTCTGGTAGTGTGTGATCTTCAGTCGTGTAGTGTATGATGGCCAGTTTTCCTTTGTGACTATTTACAAAAACTGTATATGTAGGATGCCTAGTGTTCAGATTTTAAAAGTCATGTAGTGTATTCCAGCCTTTAGGTAAAAAGTAACCTAAAAGTAATCAAAAAGTATTCTGATTATATTACCTAACATGTGTAATGTAATGGATTGCGTTACTAACTACAATTTTTGTCATGCAATTTGGAACGAGTAATGGACTCCACTTTGTAAGTAATCTACCCAGCTCTGTATGTGTGTGTGTGCAGTATTAATAATAATTATTAATATCATAAGTATTATTATTTTATACAATTATAATTTGTAAAAAAAAAAAAAAATGTATTAAATAATAACTGAATAAGGAAGAACTTAAGTTTAAATGTATATACTCAAGCTTGCAAATTACTTAACAGCAGAATTGTGTGTTTAGTGCACTTCATCAAATGTTGTGGACACAAATGCTTCTCCTTTACTGGATTTAACACTTATAACGAACAGCCATATGTTGCCAGCATTAAAGCTATGTGATAGCAAAACATCAGGGACAATCAAGCGATAACGCCTGGAAATAACTAATTAAATACACTAGTGATGTAATTACAGCGCAACATTTACTTACAGCATGTTAATTATCCTGTAACTTCAGCCGTGACGCTCAGTCTTATGTAACACAGATCTGATTCCAGAGCACTCTACTGCTGCGTGTAAATGGACAGGAGCTCAAATATGTCTAGCAGATTGTTCATCTAAAAATGTCGGTCCCTAGCTAATTTGACATGTTTTGTAATAGTTTTAGATCACAATCTCCATTAAGATGTGGTTATATATTTATAATACACTGAAAAAAAAAGTATTTCCTTGTAAAAGATACTCTTTTACTCTAATGAAGAGTAATCATCATTTTTGTAAGATCTTCAGGCCTCTAGTTATGTCCCTTCACAACTTACAGTATATGTGAATACGTGAATAAAGCAGTGCTTAGTCTGTACGGTTCTGATTGTGACTGATACTCATGCAGGTTCCCTCACCTTTGACCAGCGTGTGTTTGTCCGTCGGTGAGGATCTGGCAAGCACTCGCAGTTTAGGCCACACTTTATCAATGCGCTCCTGCTCAACCTGCCAGAGACATGAGACAGACGTGCATCCATCATGACAAAGATGCTCATTACAGCTGCCAAAAACTGGCTACACACCCATCTGATGGAATCCATAAAACAGCCACGAGTATACAACGTGAAAAAATCTAATCCAGCTCTAAGATATCTTTCTTGTTGCAATGAGTGTAAACATTCATCAGAAAAGACGTTGCATTTACATATAAATGATTTGACTGTGTATTAAATCACACGGCGTCCATCATTCACATGTGGGGTGTTAGTTAGAACGGCCAGCTTTCAAATGTGTTCAGTAACTGTCTACATGAATAACAGCAGTGCATTGCTAGCAGAGAGTACACATGCGACTAATGCAATCACAACTTCATAAAAAAGCCCCATAAATGATCAGAGTACAGACAGTTATATGAAGCAATGCTTTGGACAATCATCTCAGCTCGTTCTTTAATGCCAAAATCATGTGTGCAGTAATGCATTTCAACGACATTCCTGAGGCTTTAAAAGCTCTTTAAAAGATGATGCATGTCTGTGGGTGAGGTTTGAAAGCACTGATTTACAGATAGCTACAGACTTCATAAAACTTAGACATCTTATCAAAATAAAGTAGAAGACAGACACATTTCAAACCAGCAGAGAAAACATAGATTTTAAGCAATACAGAAGAAATAACTTCCAGTCTCTAGACGATGACAGATACTTTGTCATTTTTCGTAGTTATAATCATTGTGCCGCATCTCTCATATCCTCCCACCAAAGTTACGAGGAATGATTCTCTCAAACTGTAGTTTGCTATGCAGTAGCAAGGGGCTTTATCTAAAGTAAAATGCATGCAACTCATGTGTGATGTGACACTGTCTTTCTCTTCTAGAAAAACAGGAAAAACACTGCTGACTCATCCTGCGCTGCACAGATTTCTGTTCATCTCCCAAAAATACCAGCTGCCACCAGATACTGTGGATGCATCAAATCATGCTTCATAACCTGCATAATTAAAGCATACTGGTTTCATATGGAAATGTAGTACTGTTCAAAAGTTTGGAGTCAGAAAGATTATTATGATTATTATTATTTTAAAGAAATTTATAGAATGCATTAAATAGAGAAAGTTCAAAACAACAGCAAAACGATCCGTGTCAAATAAATGCTGTTTGCTGTAAGAATCCTGGAAAATAAAATGTATCACAGTTTCCAGATATATTGGGCAGCACAACTGTTTTCAACATTGATAATAATCAGAAATGTTTCTTGAGCAGCAAATCAGCATATTAGAATGATTTCTGAAGATCATGTGACACTGAAGACTGGAGTAATGATGCTGAAAAGTCAGCTGCGCATCACAGAAATAAATTACAGTTTACTATTTCTGTCATGACAACTCTCTGAGAGTTTAGCATAGTAATGTACATGACAAGGTTAATGTGTTTGGTGTGGTTGGAATCGATCTGAGCAGTAGATCCGAGACTAGCTACTGCACAGACATGCTGCTGTGAGTATGTAGGAAATGCTGCTGCTGCACATGTTACATACAGTATGTGAAATAACCACGTAGCAGGTCTATACAAGTGGAGCTGGGGAGGTGGAGGGTTTCTGAAGCGCACTGAACTGCTACAGGAAACACTAGCCGAGTATTTGAATGTTGAGCAGCGAGCTCATTGGCCACCGATACAGGAGAGAACCAATCAGCTGCGCCGTGTGAAGTGTTTTGTCGGAGTTTCATGCCAGAAATTGGTATTTATTCACATAGAAAACAGTTATTTGAAATCGTAATTTTTGATCAAATAAACGCAGTCTTGGTGAGACTTCTTTCGAAAACATTATAAAAATCTTACCAAACCCAAACTTTTGAACAGAGTATACACAGAAGAGTAAACTTTGCTTGTAAGCCATTTCATGGGGTCTTTAATTTAAATGTTTGTGTCTCATGGTATTTTTGACAGTATTTTAACATTTATTGCACTGGACCAGTCAAACTCATTTTCTTGATATTATGCAACAAATGCTGTTACTATTTGCTGTATACTCAGTGTCCTGCACTAAGTGTGCAGTACTGTACCTCTCCCTTCTCATTCCTGATCCTCCTGTTGAACTCCTTCCCGTCGATGCACAGGAAGTCTTCTCCGGGGTGGATGATGCCACATTTGATAGCGATGGCTCGTGCCGTGTTGATGTTGTCTCCTGTCACCATACGCACAGTGATTCCAGCACGCTGGCATTTCAGGATGGCGTCGGGCACCTGCGGACACAGGACTGCATTAATTCACCTCGCTCCGCTCCGCTCCAGAAGGAGGGTTAGCGCAGAGGCCTCTGCAAACCGCGCAAGCCCACGCCTGCAGCCCATTGCAGCAGTAAATGAGAAGACCGCCGCAAAACACACAGGATTCGGTCAGCTCTCCTGATTCCTCTAATCTCTCTTTCAGATGCTCCAGTGAAACAAGTGAGAGCTCATTAGGAGGAATTCAAAGGGCTCCTGCGGTAATTATGCAGTGGTGGAGATGATTTCTCATGCACCAAAAGACCAAATTATTCATATGAAGGTTTCATTTTCCTGCTGAAAAATCTGACCAGGTTCAGACTGACCAGCTGAAAAGTGCCTAAACCCTCCTAAAACCAGCCTATAGACTGCCTAAGACCGGCAAAGCCTAGAGGCAAAATTAAGGTAATGTAAGGTAATTGGAGCTAGTGGGAAGTAAATTCAGTTTATTTTATATAAAGTTTGTGTATATGTATATATGTGTGTGTGTGTGTGTGTGTGTGTGTGTGTCTGTGTGTGTGTGTGTGTGTGTCTGTGTGTGTGTGTGTGTGTGTGTGTGTGTGTGTGTGTGTGTGAATATAAAATCTATAAATTAAAAAAAATGTATATTAATTTAATTTAATTTATTTATTTAATTAGTTAGTTGGTTGCATTGTACATTTTTTTTTTATTATATTAATGTCATGTCAGTTAAGCTAATTTTCCCAAAAATATAATAATGGTTTAAATTGTGCAAAGTACAACGGTATTTATTGCTTGTATTTCCTAATAAAATGGACAGAATTTGAAATCTGAGACTTTGTTTCATATCAAAAGTAACAACGCACAAAGCTTAGCCTATTGAGATTAACTGGATGGGAGGCGCACTATATGTGCTGTGCATTCATCAACTGAAAACAGAATTGATTGGGATTTAAGAATCGATATTGATTCATAAAAATGAGAATGTATTGAAATAGAGGATTTTTTTTTATTTTATTTACCCAGCCCGAGCATATTTAGTTGTTTTTAGTGGCCTCTGCTGTCACTGCGGTGTGTGTTGAAGATGAAAAGTGAAGCACAGTCTCTGTTCATCTGTTCTCTTCTGTAGCGAATCAGCTCATGGGGAAATATGAATAATTAATCATAACTAGTTATAATTAATTATAAATATTTAGATCCGCCTTCCTTATGGAAAAGGCAGTGATTTTCCCTACTCACATTCCATTACGTCGTAAATGTATCTGGTCTCAGGGTTGCCATGGTAACCAGGGTCCTGGGCCTTGTTCACAGACAACTTGGCACCCAGTATGTTTATTGGGTGAGGGGTCTGTGAACGTTTGTTAATCTAATGAATAATTGATTTGTTAAATCAAATGAAAAATGGTGTGTCTGATTGGTCCAGACGCTACACTTCATAAATACATAAATAAATAAATAAACATATATGCTCGTCCTGTAGCTTCATTATTAAAAATGAAAACGTGAACAAAAATAAAAGCAATTATATCTGTCATTATAATTAATATATGGAAATTAAAATGACGGGTAATAATAGATTATGATGGAATTTTACGACCCCGTCCGTCAAAATGACAGGCAATGTTAAAGTAAACGCAACCTCTGGTATAGATATATATGATTTTAATAGAAAAAAAGGAAGATTGAATATATATAATTATTATAAATATAATACTATGATGATTTGATTGATTTTTTTATGTATGTATGTATGTCATTGTCATTTTGACGGACAGGGTCATAAAAATTCCGTCATAATCTATTATTACCCGTCATTTTAATTTCCATATTTTAATTATAATGACACATTTAATTGCTTTTATTTTTGTTCACGTTTTCATTTTTAATAATGAAGCTACAGGACGAGCATATATGTTTATTTATGTATTTATGAAGAGAACAGATGAAGAGACTGTGCGTCATTTTTCATGTTCAACACACACCGCAGTGACAGCAGAGGCCACTAAAAACAACTAAACATGCTCGGGCTGGGTAAATAAAAAAAACAAAAAACGATTTCTCTATTTCAATACATTCTCATTTTTATGAATCAATATCGATTCTTAAATCCCAATCAATTCTGTTTTCAGTTGATGAATGCACAGCACATATAGTGCGCCTCCCATCCAGTTAATCTCAATAGGCTAAGCTTTGTGCGTTGTTACTTTTGATATGAAACAAAGTCTCAGATTTCAAATTCTGTCCATTTTATTAGGAAACACAAGCAATAAATACCGTTTTGGCGTTCTTTAATGTGGCGTGATTGATCGCTGTAGCTTAAACTGTGTACTCGCCTGTGCGTAATTAAATGCATTGCAAAAGACTGGTGACAGTTTTATTTTTGTTCTGTATCTGATGATCCCGTGCTCTTCTGCCACACTGCAGCGCACTCGCCACCAACTGGACAGGTGTGAGAATTACAGTTACAAGTTACAATAGATCACCCTCAGTGTAATCTGTCGAAGTGACGCACGGCCTTCAGATTTTTCCGTCATTGCTAGAAAAAATCTGTCAATGACGGAGAATTTTCGGTTAACACGACCTCTGATCTACACACACATATATTATTATATTTCTCCTTATTACAGTAATGACATTTGGAGAAGTTTGACAAAAATTATAAACTATTACATTTTATTTATAAAAGAAAAATTTTGTTTATGCAAAAAACAAGTGAAAAAAGAGGTTTTATTTTGCTTATGCTACATATAATTTGCGTATTTAAATTGATTTTTCGGTGAAATGCAAACCATTTTTGTACGTAGTAGAGCAAAGCGGGTTAATCAGTCTCAGGGATTTTCAAGCTATTGGTATGTTTTTCATGTGCAACTTAAAGACTTTTTGATAGCGTATCATGACGCACACTTGTCTTGGCAGGAGAGTGAATCACAGACGTTATGGAAATGGGGGCCGGTCTAGACACTAAAGCGAGAGATGATATCTGCTTGACTAGACGTCCAAGTATTTCTGAGAAACGCAAAGACAGCCCAGTCTCACTTAACTCATCAGGAGGAGAGGAAGAGCCTCATCAATAAACACCACGGCAGAGGAAGGTGACGTGGTAACATTAGACATCTAAGACTAATGGATTTGTTTACGGATTCTTAGGTTTCGGCTGTTTATTAGGGAAAGGAATGGCTCACGTGTCCCGTAACAGAACGCTGAGATCAAACACACCAAACCTGTGTCATACAGAATGCTGGAGTTTTAAAAATGCTATAAAACAAACCAATTCGAAGTGGCATTTCTGCAATTCCAGAGAAGGACGGCAGCGGGTTGATTCTGCAGTCAGGTATTCACGAATGTTCCTCCATTCATGCTGTTTTTCTGTTTTACCGCAGATGTTGCTTTCTGTAAGAAGCCTTCAACAAACTGACAATTACTGAGCATGGCTCCAGAGACAGAGAACGAACGCCAGAGCAAAGAAACAGCGGGATAAAAGGAGGAGGTTAAATAATGCAGCAGTATAGACGCTTCTTCTGTTCCTGTGCGTGAAGATGTACGATCATTTGCGGATGTGTTTTTAAAGCATGCCTCTTTCACATCGTCGCATGTGTATCTGATGCAACTTCTCCTCCAATTCCCAGTATCTTCCTGTGATCTCAGAGCACCTGGGCCAGTGAGTTCTGCACAAACGCACCTTGCAATGTATTTTAACAGCAACTAGATACAGATGTATAAAAACGATGATATGAGGTGAAGTGTGAGCTGTGGAGTCCTCAGGACCCAAGAATTTAATTGGATTGCAAAACCTTCAAAGTGGTCTCGGTTTGTTTTTAGGGATCTTCCAGAGACCTAGTTTATCTAGATTCTTGCTTCTAGTGTTTTTAGTGCTTCAGCTGTGTTGATTTGTTTGCTGTGCTTTAGCTGTTAAACAGTGTGCACAAGTCCCTTGTCCTTAAATAAAGCATCTGTGTCTCACGTGTTTTTTAAAGACTCTGCTTGCGCTTTTAACAATTTAAAGCCTACTGTATCAAATTTCTAGGTTATTTATACAAGCAAAACTTTATATTTTGTCTAAAAGTTAAATACAATGTTATTCTTCTGGTTATTATTTCATATGTCAGACTTTATAGGATTAAGATGGTGTGTTAAGACCAACAAAAAAACAAACAATGAGACCCCAGCATTTAATCCGATTTTTAAACATAATCATGCATCTGAATTAAAGGCTCCCTCTGAGGAACGTGTCCGATCAGGGTCAGAAAAAGCTCAAACTAGTTGTTCAAACAGTCAGTTTTGAAAATACATGGATTTGCACATCCTTAGCAAAATCAGTAAATGTGAGCCTGGAGCACAAAAGCAGTCATAAGTAGCACAGGTATATTTGTAGCAATAGCCAACAATACATTGTATGGGTCAAAATGATTGATTTTTCTTTTATGCCAAAAATCATTAGGTTATTAAGTAAAGATCATGTTCCATGAAGATATTTAGTAAATCTCCTACCGTAAATTTATCGAAACTTAATTTTTGATTAGTAATATAGCTTCTCAAATAGCTGTATCTAAGCCAAATATTGTCATATCCTAACAAACCATACATCAATGGAAAGCTTATTTATTCAGATGATGTATAAATCTCAATTTCGAAAAATTGACCCTTATGACTGGTTTTGCGCTCCAGGGCCACAAATGATGATGCAGAGGTCACATTACAGGCGTGCTCTCCTGATGCAAAACATTATATACAAATTAGTGAAATACGACATGATGAAGCGTGAAGAAATTTCTCACCTCAGGTCTGACAGGATCCTCAATTCCAACAACACATATTGCGGTCAGCTCAGTCAAAATGTTGTTCTCATCCTCCCAGTTGGGCTCCGGGTCTGCAGTAAAGTCGCGGTAGGCCACGCAGATGGTTCTGAGCCCGTTGCAGGCCATGGGTTCGATTACTTTCTTTACCATCTCGTCCCTGTCCCTTGGTCTGAAGACGCGGGGTTCGCCCGTCTCGTTCAGAATGATACTACACCTGAAGCCGACACGTTCACATTAAAATACAAGGCCCTTCATTACAGCAATTTCTGACTTTCTGAGGACATTTCTTCATTATGTAATTCCGCAAAGAGCACATCTAAATGATTCCAGGCACATGAAGCTACAGTAATTCAACATGATGTCCCTCGATCTGCTATTGAAACACCAAAATGCTTTTATGACAAATTGCAGGTACGAGAGCTGAAGCATCAGAGAGCAGATGAAAGGCGCTCACTTTTTAAGGACGATTTCGGACGCTCCTTTGCTGTACATTCTGAAGCTGCCGTCTGGAAGCTTGATGACGGTGCTCATGGACTTCCGCACGGAGTTGAAGGTGTACACCTTGTAGAGTTTCTCCTCTGGGATCTGGTTCCGGACAGTCTGGTAGTCTCGTTTCAGGTCCAGGACCAGACCCAGCAGGCCGCACTCGGTTTTGTTGCCCACTTGTTTGGGAAGACCTCCTTCCTTATCTGGAGGCTGGGATGGAAGAAAGCCAAAGAGGTTTCAGATACCTGCTGCATGGTAACAAGCTAAATAGTGCACTCTGTTCTGTTCTGTGAATGCTGACGATCGTTAAGGGTCGCATAACTTACCACTTGTCTACAGGTAACGGCAACCGTTGCTTAGCGACCTGCACTCATGATGGGCTATGCTGCATCGAGCGCAATAAATTATTTTGGTAAGTTTGCTGAGGTCATTTACGAAGTTTCTTTGCAATTCATCACAGCCGTATAAACAGCAGAAGGAGAACAGGTGATTTTTTTTAAAGTTCTTTTTTTTTTAAATAGTAATTTTGCACAGCAGCCCACCCTGTTGAAAAAAACAGCATATACTGGTTATGTATGTTTTAAAGCATGGCTGCTGGTTTGAGCTGGTTTAAGCTGGTCCTTAGCTGGTCATGAGCTGGATTAAGCTGGTCAAGTGCTGGTCATGTGCTGGTCCTGAGCAGGAGCTAGTTGCTTAGGACCAGCTTAGGACCAGCACATGACCAGCTAAGGACCAGCTTAGACCAGCTCATGACCAGCTAAGGACCAGCTTAGACAAGCTCAAACCAGCAGCCATGCTTCAAAACATACCTAACCAGCATATGCTGTTTTTTTTCAACAGGGCAGTGTTAATATTCAATTCCATGGTTGGCGTTTGTTATAAATCTCAAACACTAAAGTATTAATCTTCTGCCGTCGATTCTTAACGTTCACTTTTTGGACTCCATTTAAGGCAAAGCAATCTCTCATTGTCACTGTGAGTTCAAAGTGAACTTGTAAAATATATATTAACTAAGGTCAGCTTGGTCTTCTATCTTTCAAGCATGTTGAATTGCAATTGGCCTCTACCTTCTTGCCTTCATTTACAACTTACTTTATGCTCCCAAGATGCATTGTGTCCAACAGAACCCGTGCTGAGCAAGATGGCTCTTCATAACTTTAACACTGTGTCTTTCCTGCTATCAATCACTGGTATTTAATAACATGTCTGCAATCCCACTCCACAAAGGGGCATGTTTTTCTTAAAACATCTATATGTGATCCAAACTGTCTTTCAAAGAATAAGTGTCTGCATATACGTACAGTATGAAAGCCCGAAAAAGCTTAAAAGAAACAAAAGGTCCATATTATTTTCAGACCACAAAACCAAATCAAATCTCACTGTCTGCAGTTTGCTTGAACAAAATCCAGCACCCAACACTACCCAGCTAGAATTTCTCCAGGGAATTTGATTTCATTATTGATGAGAAGAAATGCTGAAATGCCCATAGAGACTTTGATTGTCAGTTAACTTTCTGATTTAATTTTCCAGCATTTCTCATAACTAGGCTTGACAGGATCCAACATGCATCACTGCTGTATTGCAATGTAGCGTATGCAAGACGACTCATAATGTACATACAGTGGAATTTCTATACGCTGTAGTGGAGAAATTGAGAAATTTCAGCAAACAAAGCCAGTGCACGTGTTACACATTTTGATTTATGTCTGGGCATCAGACTGTGACTGGCTTGTTTACACGTTAATGGCCTACTGGGTAATCGAAAGTGGACCATTTAATTCCCAGGGCAGAGAGAGGTTGGAAAAAAATGAATTATAACTAAAGCTAAATTACGTTTTTTTTTTCCACAAGAACTTTACTAACTTCACTAAGTGTACCTCAGAGGAAGAAATTACATTAAAAAGTATCTCGTGTTTGCTCACCTGGGTCATTCAAGACTGCTCATGCATTTGATGCGGATTTCATAGCACCCTTCGGAGAGGCGCTGGCACGCAAAGCTCTCCTGAACAGCTGTCTTCTCCCTGGTCATCACGCACTCCTACGAACCACGGCATATGGCAAAACATGCTCTGGCAGCACTACTTCCTCTTTACGGCCCTATTCGGCTCCTGCGCTCCACACGGGCCCTCGATCTATTCTCCTTCTCGCTGCAGGAGCCGCGGATGCCCTCTTGTGTCCCCTAGAAGGTCATTTTCATAGCACCTCTTTGATTTCACAGTGTTACCTACACTGACAGTGACAGCCCCTGTCTCAGGCCATGAGGTGACCGCTCTGCCAAAGCTGATTGGCTAAAATGAATGAGTGGCAGCCCGAGGCATCGCAGAGAGACTTTGGCAGAGACCCTGAGCCACATGGAGCGGCTGCAGCCGGACAAACGACTTTGCCCAAAATGAGTCACAACTTATCAAACATGAGACAGCGAGATATCTCACCTTGTCATGTGCACGATGAAAAAACTGCTCCCAAAACAGTAGGGCAGTATTCTTTCCAGCATATAGACTAGTGTTGGGTCTAAGTCCAGTAAGTTTAAATTCACCTGAATATGTTTTGAGTCATTCGAATTCATTCATAATTGCACTGGTGTCCAGACTTGGTTCCTAGTCCGGCATCGAGTACCCCAAATTTACATATGACTAGTAGCAGACGTTTTGCCTAAGCATTACCCTTAGAAAACCATGGTTTAACGATGGTATCAGATAGTAAAACTAGGGGTCGAGAACTCTCTTTAACTCAATCCCTAATCAAATACATCTGAGAGGATTGAGTTAAATTGAGTTATTGAGTCTTCAGGATTGCTTGAAAATTACAGGCAGGTGTGTCTGGATAATTACAGACACAGACTCAGACATTTTGGACATGAAAGATAAAAAATCAGTAACAACATGAAGACATTAATAAATGTCTCAAACTCGATTGGATAAGGACTTGGACTCGACAAGGTGGACTCTGACCCGACAAAGGTTTGCTTGAAAATTACAGAAAGGTGTCTTTGATCGGGAATGGAACTAAACTCCGTAGGACAGTAAAGTCTCCCATCCCTAATATACATTATGGAAGAGACTGTGACTTTGCCAAGTCGGTCTTGACTAAAAGCTATTCCGACTTGTTCTGAGAGTTTGACAGGACCATAAAATGACATCCTTGAATATGTCTTACCACAGTACTGAATGATGTCCATATTCATGCACCATGGTACCTTTATCCTGCAGGTAATAGGCATTTGAATGGAATCATATGGTTCTATTCACAGAGTCGTTCATCATCCTGATGACAGAAACCAGAGTGTTCAGTGTGGAGTCACTGAATGGACCCGTTCCCAGATTCCCAAGCAGAAGCCAATTAAAAACACATCAAGCATGAATAAAACACATGCAACAATGCGTTAATCGCTAACCGATACTCTATGCTCAAACAAACCTTTGAAAAGATGCAAGAAAGGCTAACTGCATCTGTCTTTGGTGTAACTAAGAATCCAGAGCTTACAGCCGATGACCTACTGAACAGTCCTCAAACACACACACAGCGCCGCATACGGACATGTGACCTCCAATCAAGAATTGATGGGAGCCCGGGAACATGGCATCAGTGTCAGACCCGACCTCTCCAATCAGAGGGCCAGAAGGTCTGACGGAACAGTTGGTAGAAGCAACCTGAGATCAGAGCGACAAGAAGTCTCCGCAGAGCTCAGACTACCGGCTGAAGTATCAGTGTCCATGCCAGCAGCATCACCTGTACTGTGTGTCCTACTCCGATTTCAGGATTACACTAACTCTTTCGTGGCTGAGCACCAGCCGCTTGTACTACCGAGACACGCTTCATAACCACTCTAAATTATGAATGCTAAATCTATATCAAATACAGGTAAAAGTGTGTTGGTAAAACCGTGCAAATAAGCCGTTGCACCTAAAAGCACGATATTCCAATATAGCGTAAATCTAGGAGCACTGAGATGGGAAGGAGAGTTTGGAAAGTTTGCTGAAGGAGCTCTCAAGTGTTGGGTGAGGAGAAGTTCATGCATTAATTACATAATGGAGCAGCAAAGCACAGTAGCTTGGGGGGATCTCTCCAGGGATAAAGAGTTCTGCTCATTTCAGTTTGTGTTAAAACAAGACGTCTGGAATGATATGCTTATCCAAGTCTTGCTTTGTAAGGTTATGAAAGCTCTCGGTACTGGTCTCCAGGGACGGGTTCTGTAAGTAGTGTTAGTGTGCTGCGCCGTTCAATGGGTTTGCTTTCAGTTCCTATGCTTCTTAAACCGAGATAAAGAACAGATCTGATTCCAGCCCCCAGAACCTAGAGGAGCTCACATGTTCTGATTTTCATTGTCTCAACTGTTTCCTTGCAGACTGCTCATTTTTGGAAACCAACCCAAACTGGTGCTCCAAAATACACAGCAATTATTCTGCAGCGTTCTTGGTGCTCAAAGAACACACAGCACATACGGAAACGTGTACATGAGAAGGCCTAACGCAAACACAGTCCTGATTCCAGTAAGCTAGGATTTAATCGGTGGGTTACTCTATGTAGGACACCACACTGTAGGTTTGTGATTTTTTTTCCTCCTTTGGAATTCATAGATATTACTTTCCTATTGTGATGCTGAATGTGATTGTTCAATTTATATAAAACTGAAACAACCGTATACTTTCAAGGCACTGCAATTCAAACAACAATGAGTTTAGCCATCTCGAAAATTGATGTTGGTAGTAATGAAGAAGCAAAAATGTGCTAATATTGCTGAAGCTCAGCTGGTGAGCATGGCATCAGAAACACCAAATCATTGATTCAGTTACTAGAGTAAACACACACTGATTCAATGTCCTTTATTCACTTCAACGATCGTTTGTCAAATAGGTGTAAGCAGCACTCTACCTAATGCTGTCACTTTTGTGATGCTATTATGGTGCTTTTATTTTCTTTTTAGAGGATGAGCAGAATGCACATTCTGCTAAACATCTTCCTTTGAGTTCCACAGAAGAAAGAAAGCCATAGTCTTGTAGGATTTGCCTGACATGAGGGTGATGTTTCATGTGTTTCTGCTGACCCTAGTGTATTGCACTGACTGGTCAAAAAAGTAGGGATGCACCGAATGTTCGGCAACTGAAATTATTCGGCCAAAAATAGCAAAAAAAGCTCTTTCGGTGTTCGGCCGAATAAGCGAAAAGACTGAATAAATTGTACCGAACAATGATATGACGCGATCATATAGCAACCAGCGCAGAGTGAGAGGCGCGCACTCTAAAAGTAAGACAATAATAATGATAATAATCATTACAACAGCTCTGTTAATACATTTATTATAATTATATTATTATTATAATATAAAATGTTCTAATGTTTTAAAAGAAGTCTCTTCTCAGCAAGGCTGCTTTTAATTATACAGTAAAAAAAAATAAAAATACATGCCTGATTCAAGAAGGGGGTCTGATGGCCAAAAATTATTATTTTACTAACTTATTAATTTTAAGTTAAATTGTGCTTTGTTGGTATAGTGTCTGCTAGAATGTTAAAAATGTTCAGTGTTAAATATTTTTAAATTGTTGTTTTGTAATTGAAGTTTTTCTTTGAAAAGCAAGACAAAACAGTAAAAAGCACATTTTGGCTTTTTAATTTATGCAATGGTGAAAAAAAAATTGGCAAAATACATGGGGAAAAAAACTCGAAAAACCATGTTCGGTATTTGGCCCAGTGTTTCATTTTGTTCGGTTTCGACTTTGGCCAAGAATTTTCATTTCGGTGCATCCCTACAAAAAAGCCATTGTTTGGATTACATAAGAAACCACTTAAGAGTCTATGATTGGGTCATTATTGCAGCGATTAACACTGAATCCAACACTAAACTGACTTTACTGAAGAATCTGAATTGGCTCCATAGTTGAGCTTCCATAATGGATTCAGCTATTCTGTGGTTTATCACCGTGAAGCTGCTTTGACGCATTACAATTTTAAAAAGCGCTATAGAAATAAAAGGTGACTCGACTTGAATAAATATGTCTCTGGCATATGTTTGGCAACAATTTGTTTAACTGTATCTAATGCAATGTGTAACGTTTCATTTCTTAAAGAGCCATGCTGGTAGATGTATCCCATGGCCATAATCCAGGGTGACAATGTGACAAGATTCATCTGGCTCAAAATGTGAAAGAGTTGTTCAGGGAACATGATATGTTGCATAAGGCTGTCCAAACAATGCTACAATTAATGCACAGTGCAATCAAAGATAAAGGAAGTCCAACAAATATTAGTGTGCAACTTTTTGGCCAGGCAGTCTATATAAGTAATAACATTAAAATCTATTGTTGCAAAGCAGTTGTTGCTGAAATAACAGCAGTGTTAGCCAAACAGCTGAAGGTGTCTATGTCTTACCAGTATTTTAGTAGTGTAGGCGCTGTTGAGGGATATAGCGTTGACCAGTATTTCCAGAGTTTTGGGTGGGATGGAGCTGGGGTCTGGTATCTCCTTGTAATGGACATCGCCCACATAGCATTGCACTGCTGTCATTCGGTTGGTGGTCAGTGTGCCAGTCTTGTCTGAGCAGATAGCTGTGGCATTGCCCATGGTCTCACAAGCATCCAGATGGCGTACCAAATTGTTATCCTTCATCATTTTCTATAAGCACATACAAAAGACAAAATAGTCATATTTAAATGTGATGTAACCACATGACTGATACAGATAACTAGCTAATACAACATCTTCTAAAAGCGTCTAAAAACTGCTCTGTGCTCTACCTATATGAGTACCTGTCGACATAAATAACCTTCTAACTGAAATGGGACATAAAAAGGCTTCAACTGTATTTTTATTTATTTTTTAAGGATGTGTTCACGACATGTTGTAAGCTGTTCACACAGCCAGACAGAAAACATTTATTTCTAAAATCATTTCTATTGCCATTTTTGGAATTACACCGACACAGATCCATAAGCGGCTTTGATGGTAAAAAAAAAATACATCTGTGTATGCATAATAGCTACCTAGTGACTTTTACCTGTTGAGATTCTTATGCGACACCGCAAACATCAAATGAGAGAGTTCAGAGATTTCATGAAATTCAGTATTTCCAATTTGTAGTTATACATTGTGAAGTAATCATTCATGAATGTAAAGTCAAAAAGCACAAAATTATGGCAATTTCAACATGAACAGCATATCGCTCACAGTTGGATCTATACACTGGTTGTTGACTGGATTTTGAAATGTGGGCATTGCACTGTCTGACATTTTGATTGGAAGCGACAAGTTATGAAATTGTATTAAAAACAAGGGTAACACTTTATTTTAAGGTGTCCTTGTTACACATGTTGCATGTACTTACTATTATAATAACAATTAATTATGCGTAATTACATGCAAGTAACCCTAAACCAAACCCTAATCCTAACCCTAACCATATAGTAAGTACATGTAGTTAATTAATATTACTCAGTACTTAAATGTATAATTACACTGTGACAAGGACACCTAAAAATATAGTGTAACCAAAACAACAAAGTCAAATATAAAAAAATAAAAAAATAAATAAAACAAATGCACATATAAAATCAGACTCAAATCAATTTTCATTTTATGCTGACTTTAAAGTGAGCATGCACAGGATGTGGGAGTCAATTTCTGCTGGAGGCAAGCAGAAATGAGATAAACGTTTATAAAAACCTCTCTGGTATGATTGCAAATGAGTTGTCCAATGTGATTTAATCATCAACTGGTTTAACAGGTTCATTGAAAACAATCATCTCATTCATGTCATTTTGTAATGGAGGAAAGGTTTCCCAAAATAAAAATAAAAAAAGCATTTTAAAACTATTAAAAGTGATCCTACGATGCCCAAAATTGCTGTCTGCACTGTAAAAAATGAGTGTCATTTTAACGGTAAAATATTGTAAAAACACAATGGGAAAAAAACCTGTTAATAGGTCAACAGTAAGTTCCCATACTATACACAATGAAAAACTGCAAAAGATCTAACTAGAAAATGTATGTAATTTTACTGTAAAATGCTGTTAATTGTACAGTTTTTAGAAGCAAAAAAGAACAAATCAACATAATTTACAGTCAAAAACTGTAAACTGACATTTACAGAATTCCACATTTAAAGTATTGTAAGGTCAAAAATTATCAAAGACTTCTGCTTTCCTGTCCCAAACCTATCTTCAGTAACAAAAGGGCCATTTGGCATTCCTGAAGACACAGAAGTGCTGATATCGATCAAGGCCTGTAGGCCAACATGTGTATACATCGGGGGTCTGCTAATTGTCACAACTTTTGCCCAGTGGGTGAAGTTGTAATCTGCTGATTGGTCAGTTTGAATGTCTCACATTTGGTTTTTAGTCACATGGTCAAGGAAGGTATAAAAGAGGACTGTAACTGTTGCTCTGGCTCTTTTCTTTGCTACCTCTCTTTCTTTGCTGGGACTCTCTTCTTGGGGCTCTGCCCTCTCTCTCTCTCTCTCAGGTAATATTTTACATACATGCTGGGTAGAATTAATTGTTCATGTTTTACCATCCTTCATCTATTTTGTAACCAATTCAAGTGTAACCATAACAAAATATTGTTATTAAACCATTTCAATTATTAATTATGTGCTAACTAGTCTTGATTCAAGGTTAATATTAAAGTGCTACCTATTGCAATACAATAGTCACTTAATAGCAACGCTCTCCCACATATAGCTATTCTAACTGCGCTTATTTCCGTCGTTGGTATAAGTGGCAGTGGGTGGTAATAGACTAGAAATGTACAGTTTTATACCATCGTGCTGATAACGTTTCTTTAGTCATTCGGCAATCCTACAGCCTGAACCACCGTAGGGAAACCATCCTTACAGTATTTTGTTTAAATAATCATGTTTCTTAATAGTTTTAGATATGTGACCCTGGACCACAAAACCAGTCATAAGGGTCACAGTTTTTTAATTGAGATTTATGCATCATCTGGAAGCTGAATAAATAAGTTTTCCATTGATGTATGGTTTGTTAGGATCGGACAATATCTGGCTGAGATACAACTATTTGAAAATCTGGAATCTGAGGGTGCAAAAAATCTAAATATTGAGAAAATCATCTTTAAAGTTGTCCAAATGAAGTTCTTAGCAATGCATATTACTAATCAAAAATTAAGTTTTGATATATTTACGGTAGGACATTTACAAAATATCTTCATGGAACATGATCTTTACTTAATATCCTAATGATTTTTGGCATCAAAGAAAAATCTATAATTTTGACCCATACAATGTATTGTTAGCTATTGCTACAAATATACCCCAGCGACTTAAGACTGCTTTTGTGCTGCAGGGTCACATATCAGCACCTTTGGGTTTTCTATTACATCTGCTGTTGTTTAATGATTATTACATTATTTAAGTGTTGTGTGTTACCATATTTGTAAATTACAGTTCTATACTGTAAAATATACAGTTTGTTCTGCAAATGTGTTCACAGAAGCTCCCAAAATAAATGTGTAAAAACTACTGATTTTTTTTTTTTTTTACAGAGTGGGTTCATGTAATATCAAAGTGTTAGACTAGATCTAAATATGCTACAGTCTAAACGTTCTTCATGTGGAACACATTTACCTTCACCGAGTAGGCCAGAGAGATGGTGACAGCCAGCGGAAGGCCTTCAGGAACAGCCACCACCAGCACTGTAACGCCAATGATGAAGAATTTGACAAAATACTGAATGTAGATCGGCGTACACTCCGGCAGCCACGGCCTCTTCAGAAGCACAAAGTTATCGATTGCAAAGTAAAGCACCAGGATGATGACTGTAATGGCAGACATCACCAAACCTGAGGACCAGATCACAGCAAACACTGCATTAGTGCATGGCGCTCCACTGCAATGATAAAACAGCCCAAAATACAAAACCAGTGTCAAACCCTGATCCTCCAAACAACCTAAAAACATGTCGCACCTGCTTTGCCGATCTGCACGGCCAGCTTGGTCAGTTTTCCCTGCAGAACGGATTTCTCTTTCTTGGAGACACTGGCTTTCTTCTTCTCTTTGTCATCGGCCTCTCCACCCTCTGCACTCTTCAAGGGCTGCATCTCCATTGCTGCAGCACCGTCCTGCTTCTTCACTGTAACGATAACTCATGTGGGTTATGCGGCGTCTGACCTTTGCTCACTTCTACAGCTAAAGCTGGACCTTGACTGTACTGGCCATGTAGTCATTGTGAGAGAATCACAGAAGAAAAGAACCATACTGTTGGGTTGTTTTATGTTTGTTTGTTTGTATATTAATACTAACTTGGACATGTTGGCGACTAAACGTGATGTATGAATGACCATTCTGAGCTACTAGCCATCACTTTTTCAATATTCGAAAAGAATCATTGATCTTCAGGCAATACGTTATCACCAAGCCACCAAATTAATATGTTATTTTATATATCTACATTGATTTGTCTCAAAGGGAACACGAGCCGGTGAATGAATTTCACATTTATCCAGGAACTCAATTAGAGGTCAATCATGGTATCATTACATGACTGAGACACGTCTGCTCTACTGAAAAACCGTTTCATGGGATCTGATGACAGACGCTCCGTATCAAGTTTATATGGGACAAAGGATCTTGAAGTCCCTTTATTTAAAGGGATAGGTCACCCAAAAATAAAGCTCTGTCATCATTAACCCTCATTTTGCTTCAAACCTGTATCACTTTCTTTCTTCTAGCTATGTAAACCAGTAATAGCTCCACATTGAATTATAGCTTTGTTACGGTAAACAAAAGTTATGTTTAATATCTACTGTCTAAACCCATTTATACTACAAATGGAGCTCACAATCTAAGTTACTCATACATAAAGTTTATACAAACTGTTTTTCATGTTGGGAATATCAACACATGGACTAATTATAAAATGTAAAACCTTTCACATACTTGCAACTCTGGAGACCTGAAAATGATCAGAAACTTGATTGTTTCTGATCATTTCAAACTTGAACTTAACCAGACTGTATCATGAGAATAAACTTAAGAGCAAATTTACTGACAAATGTAAATGCAAAGTATTTAATACTAAAAGTAAAGTCAGTTGCAAAAAATGAAGCATCTACTGGCTGAACACATAAATTAAATACATTTCTCTTGTCGATATTTGCATAGACTAATTTATTTTCACCATTCTTTGAAATATACAGACACCTCTGGATATTTTTGTCCATATGATGAATAACCAAAGAGCAAAAACAGCTAGGCTACAGATCACTAAAAACTCCTTTCAGAATTCAAATGGTCCGAGATTTCGACACAGACAGAAAGTGTGAGGTTATCGAGAGACCCTGACACACACATGAGAAGCAGCACAGACGAGCTGACATCTGAACCCGCCAAAGGAAAGGAGGAATAAAGTAATGGTGAGCGCTCAAACCAGCGGTAAAGTGAAAGCAGGTTACCTTTGGTCTGGTTGTTCTCCATATTTCCATCCTGCATTTTACCTAAGATGAAGGCATCCACAGACACAGGACAAAAATAACAGAAAGCAGACGATAAAACATTCATCACATGGACATTACAGTGAAATCAAATTAAAAAGGAAGACAGAGAATGAGTTATTTATCAACATCATTGTGAGTCACATACATAACACAGAGTTGTTTCATAATGAAGCTCTGAGGTGCATTATGGGTTTGTATCAGTGACATAAAATATCAGCTGAGTTCATTTACTCTGTTGAGGTATAAATGTTATGTTACAAATCATTACTTTCTTGAATGCATGTATTTGATATTGAAGTATATGCAGTATGTGTTTGTTCAAACCAAAGTAGTTCAGCTGTGTGTTTTCATGTTGGTTTTTTGACAGGAATGCCATGGAATATCTAATATATGTAGAATCTACACAACATTTTAAACACTTGGTAGTCATTTCTAGGTTGGTCACTATGATTTGTCATAGTGGAAGAACTATGTAGTAATCATTCAGATATTCCATGGAGGAGAAATGGAGGAGAAACACTCAACACAATGAGGACTAGAGGAACAGCACAAGTCTACTGGACATGCAGGAGAAAGAGCCATGCAACACCACAGGAGCAGAGAGGAGGAGAGCCACCTCACCACAAGAACAAGAGCAACCACACACACAAAACCAATCTCTATCTATCTATCTGTCTATCTGTCTGTCTGTCTGTCTATCTCTAATCTCTATGTCTATCTATCTATATATCTGTCTCTGTCTGTCTGTCTATCTATCTATCTATCTATCTATCTATCTGTCTGTCTGTCT